ATTAACTGTACCCCAGGCAAAACCAGCACAGAGGGAACAGAAAATGGGCAGGTGAGTTCTGGAGGCCTCTGGGTCTGCTGCTCCTGGCAACAACAGTGGGTGCCCCCCCAAACCCACCCAGTAAAGTGGGAGTTCTGGGGCTCAGGGAACCCCTGTGCTGACGTGGCAGTGATGTGTGTTTGCATCTGCTGTCCTGCTGGGTGTCTGAGGTGTGACCTGGATCCCAGGAGCACACGGACCCCCAGTGCCCAGAACTGCAGCTGATGGAGAAGAGCCTCGGGGGTCCTGTCAGGATCACCCTGCTGTCAGCTAATCCCAGAGACAGGCCAACAGCATCGGCTGGGCTGGGGTCTGCCACAACCCTGTGCAGTCCGATTGTGGTCTTCTCCCAAGTAACTGGGGATAGGATGAGAGGCAGTGGGTTGAAGTTGCCCCAGGGGAGGTTTCAGTTGGATATTAGGAAGCATTTCTCTCCTGGCAGAGTGTTGAGGGGTTGGCCCAGGCTGCCCAGGGAGGTGATGGACGCCCCAGCCCTGGAGGGGTTCAGAAAATGTGTGGGTGTGGCACTTGGGGGCATGGTTTAGTGGCCATGGTAGGGTTGGGGTGGTGGTTGGACATCTGGAGGTCTTTCCCAAACGTGACAGTTCTGTGATGAGTGACCCCCGTGCCCAGTGTAAGCTGTGGGTGTTCTGCCCCCCCTGCAGCGCCTGACCAAACACACCAAGTTCGTGCGGGACATGATCCGGGAGGTCTGCGGCTTCGCGCCCTACGAGAGACGCGCCATGGAGCTGCTCAAGGTCTCCAAAGACAAACGTGCTCTCAAGTTCATCAAGAAACGGGTGGGTGGAGCTGGCGTCGGATCGGGCTGGCAGAAACTCAGCCCGAGTAGCACCCCACGTGTTGGCCTTCCTGGGGACACTGGACTTTGTAATCCTCTTGTTTGGGAGGTTACTGGTCTGAGCTGAGGGGGGGGACAATGCTCTGTGGGCTGGGGGGGAGGGCTGAGGGAAGGCCCCAGGCTTCACGACCCCAGCCCCAAAAAAAAACCTCTGGCGGGGGGGAGAGGAGAGCAGAATGGTGAGAGCTGAACCAGCTCCCAGCTTGCCCCGAGTACCGGGGGGAGTTCTGCCAGGATCCCACCGGCTGCTTTTTGGGCAGGGCTGTGTCTGTGCCCCGCTGACCCGCTGTCCCCCCTGCAGGTTGGCACTCACATCCGGGCCAAGCGGAAGCGGGAGGAGCTCAGCAACGTCCTGGCAGCCATGAGGAAAGCTGCTGCGAAGAAGGATTGAGCTGCGGGGCCTGTCGCTCAATAAAACCTCCTCACAAGGCAGCGTGGTGACCTGTGGTACCTCTGCCCTGGGCCGTGGGGATGGGGGCTCCTGGGGGGGCTGAGGGGCTGCTGACAGCGCCCAGAGCTGCACTGACCCACAGCTCACAGGGCCACGTTATTTAACCTGCAGCTGGAGGTGCCTCAGCAGCCTGGTAATTGCTCTAGAGGAGGACTCCCCAGCCTTTCTCAGGAGGTGGAGGCCTTGGCCATGGCAAAGGCTGGGACACTGCCACCTCCCTGTCTGCCTGCAGACCTTGGCGGTGGCAGGAGGGAAGCTGGTGCACAAAAGCTGCTGTTGGAAATAGTAAGTTTGCAGCCCTTCCCCACAGCACTTGAGCCTGTTCCTCGTGCAGCTTTGCTGGCTCGTGCACTTCCCCCCATACCCTCCCTTCAGGCCCAACTTGCTGCAGAGTGTTACCAAATCATGAGTAAGAATCACAGTAAGAGCTCCCTGAATGCCAGCCAGGGTCTTTTCCAACCCTAATAATTCTGATTCTAGAAGAGACTAGACCAGTTCCACTGATGATGGCAGATATGTGTATTTCTTAGGTAAAATTTCACAAATTTTATTGGAAATACTTCTGGTAGATCCTGATTCAGTAGTAAAGAGTGAGAAACACTTTATTCCAGCCAAGCCACAATTCATTCCAGCAGCTGCTCAGCAGCGATAGCTCCACCTCAGAACTGCCCCGGGCCGCCCTGTCTCCAGGGGGCTGGGCACGAAGGGACAGGCACCTCTCAGCCACCCGCGTCCCACAGGTCATCCTCCAGTGGGGTCCAGCTTTGGAAACACGATATCAAAGACCTCTGTGTAGTGCTCAACAAAATGCACCTCCAGTCCCTCCGTGATGAACCCGGCCAGGTCGTAGAAATCCTTCTTGTTCTCGGCCGGCAGGATGACGCAGGTCACGCCCGCCCGCTTCGCCTGGGGAGGGAGTGCAGCCTGCTGAGCCCTGCAGCCCATCCCTCTGCCAGGAGCACACCCCCCCTCCAGAAAGCAAGGGCAGGAACGGGTCTGCAGGAGCATGGTCTGGCTGGACTGGGGAGCAGCAAGGACTTAACCCACAGCAGGTCTCACCAAGGGTGGGCAGTGTCTAGCTCTGCCCAGGCCCCGGAGCACGTGCTCTCAGCCCCACCCTCCCAGCTGCAGGGACAGCTGAAGGGGGAAGTATTTTAGTAGGGGGTGGTTTAGAACAATTCGTACTGCTTCAGAGAGTGTGGGAAGTCTGTTCCAACCTGGGTAAATCCTAGAGGCAAAGGAAGAACTGGAAACAGCTTATCAGCCCCACCCCTGCAGGAGCATGACCTACAGAACCTTCTGTGAGGGACACTGCACCAGGAGCACAGAGAGGAGCCTCTCCTCACAGGGCATGGTTTGGGAGTGGTTGTACCCACTCACTTCATGGGTGATCCCGTGTTCAGCCCCACGTGGCCACCTGGACTCCTGCAAGTGCAGCCAGTCGTTGGTGCCACAGCCATCCCTGTCATAGATCAGGCCTGTAGGGACTACCATGGAACAAAATGCAAAAATCACCCTTTTCAAGCCACACGAGGAAAAGGAAC